TCTCTGGCCTCACGGTCTTCGCCGTCCTATGGCCTGAAGCCACCACCCCACTGAGCGCTCTGGTCTGTATGCTGACCTTCTCCACCATCTAGGTGTAGTGGACATGCTGGTCGACCTCCGCCATCTTCTTCGCCAGGCCTGACAGCACATCGCCCGAGTCGTGCAGGTACCTCTGCACCGCTGAGGACGTCCATCTCAGAGTCCTCTTCACGACCTCGATCTCCCCGGTGGCCTGGTAGAGTGCCGACGCGCCCCCAATCCTCAACGAGTGTGACTGGAAGCGCTCAGCCGGCAGGCCCAAAGCCTTGTGGCGGCTCGCTGCAGCAAGTTCTGGATCTCGAGGCGCTTGATGACTCCTCCTGAGGCCCACCTGAACAAGGGTAGGTGACTCTCTGGCCCTGACCCGAAGCGACGAGGTGCCACTTCTCGCAAACGATGCAAGGCCGTGACCACACAGACGTGCTCGACATCGGTCTTGAGCATGGTCTTGCACGTGCCGAATGCCTCCTGGTCAGCCTTTGTCTTCCTGAACTGCATCGTCACCTCCTGCGGGTCCGGCTCATCACTTTGACCTCGAGTGGTCAAAGAAACATCTTGTCCACGGAGGATCATCTCCTGGTCCACCCCATTGGAGTCCGCGAATTCACGAGCTCGGAGCATGAAGAACCAGCCCGTCACCATGGCGGCGTGCACCATCCTGCAGTCCACCTTGAGCTCGCCGAAGGACTCCGCTCCCGTGGCCATTCGTTTCCCGATCCACTTGAGCATCTGCACTGTGACCCCCCAGGCGTCTCGGCCTCTTCACAGAGTTCTTCTCTAAGGAGTTCAGGACGATCCAAAGGCGGTGCATCTTGGTGGTGGTATCACCGTGGCCTGCTCGCTTGTGCGCGTCCTTGATCGCAAACACTGCCTGCTTCATCGTGGCCACCGAGGTTCCCAGCCATCCCAGGTACCCGAGGTAGCCCAGCACCTTATTCTCGTTGAGGAAAGTCAACAAACTTGGCTCCGTCCTCCTCTACGGCTTTCACCTCCTTCTTTCTGCGTCCTCCTCAGCGCCTCAGCTCGGCGCCCTCAAAGTTCCCGGAGCCTCTCTCCTCAAGCCCCAGGGCCTCCAGCCATAGCTCCTCTCCCCAGAACCACACGGCCGACGTTTGGTCTTCAAGACCTCCAGCTTTCCGTTGGGGTTCGGCTCGTCGGAAATCTCCTCTTCTCCACTTCCGCAACCACCTGAGCAGGGCGCCCAAAGACTTGTAGTCCTCATAGTCGACGCACATCCCTGCCTTTCCTTCGTGGCCTTCCTTTGCGAGCTCTGCGGCGACCCCAATCAAGCTCAGAGCTGTCCGTCTGCCTGTAGCCTTGCAGCCTTCCTTCTCCGTCTCGAGCTCGCCGATCTGTGACACCATCTCCCACTCATCCAAGCGCCGGCCCTGCAGCATCCAAATCTCCTTGCCAGACAGTGCCCTCACCGTCCCCACCGGAGCTGCTTTGTCCAAGACAAACACCCGCTGCATCTTCTTCTCCGCCTGGTCCAGCAAGGGCCACCGACATGGTCCGCTCATGGAGTACACGTGTTGCCTCTCGCCCCTGACCCAAGCGTGTGCCGCCACCACCGGGAGCATCACCTCCTGGCCCACATTGATCGCTGTCTCGAACTTGTGGACACCCATGCAATTGCCCTCCTGCACCTTCTGCAAGTAGGAGCCCATCGCTGGCGGGGTCACAGCCTTCACCATCAAAAACTCCACAGCTTCTGCCGTTTTGCTCATCGGGCAGACGAAACCAGCCACCCTCCGTCGCACCATAGCCTCGCCCAACTCAGATGTTAGGAAGCCCTGCAAGATGCATGTCCACCCAATGGCCTCCGCCCATCGTTCCACGTCAGACCACTTCACCTCGCCGGGGCCTTCCAGAACTGCCACATCGAAGGTCTCACGGTCGAGGAACTGGAGGAACTCCTTGACCTTCTTGCCCTTAGGGTCCGGCCCGATGGTGCCCGCCACGACCTTGTACTCGGGGCTCTCTTCGTCGCTCGAGAAGTACTCCCAGTCTCTGACATGACGATGCCCCGGTGTCCACTCGACGACTTCCACCTTGGACATATCAGCCGGCTGTCGAAAGATTGCCCGAAAGACCCTGAGTTCTCTCAGCCTCATCAACTCCCACCGGTCTTCCTGGTCAGCCCATGACAGGAAGATAGGCCAAACCGCTCAGTGTCCTCCAGGGCTTGTTGGACGCTCAGCTTGATGTCCTGGCGCCTCCAACCCTTCTTCTCCATGAGCTCCACAGCCTCCTTCTCCTCCAGCCGGGTGAGGGCGTCCGCATCCTCGTTGTGGAAGGTGCGCCACCAGCCGCCCAGGATCCTGCACCTGTGCCTCTTCTCCACCAGGTTCAGGACTCGTATGAGCAAGCGCCCAGCCTTCACACCACTCCTCCTGCTCGTGATCCAGAAGTACACGACCTTGTTGTCCGGCGTACACCGCAACCGGGCCTTCCCACTGGTGTCCTACCTTACAAGCAAAGGCGACGAAGCTCAGCATCTCTCCCAGGTGGATGGCCAGCTTCTGGTCCCCTTGGCCCTCTGCTGCAACGACCTGTTTGATCCAGGGTTTCAGCGTCTCGACCTCCTCCCGGCAGCCGAGCCCATTGGTCCAGTCGATGGCTGCCACCACATCGGGTGTCGCATCTGATGACACGAAGACCGGCCCTCCACCTTGCTGTCCGGGAAGTGCTAGCCGTTCGAGAGGAGGCAGTAGTTCCCTGATGATCGCCCCCAAACTTCTCGACCGACGTCTCGGAGCGGGAGCAGAGCCATCGACAGTCCTCAAAGAGCTCCCATAGTGCTTCCCAGGCCTGTAGCTCCTCTTGGTTGGCGGCCTCGGATCCATCCTCTCGCATCAGGCGTGGGCGAACTGCTGCCCTGCCATCCATTCCACCAAGGAACCCGTCTGCACTCTTGAGCTCGTTCTTCAGTCCTGCCACGACCGTGCTCCAGCCAGTTGCGATTCCCCGAAATGTTTGAAACTCCTTCAGCGGGAGGTCCTTGTGCCCGTAATTGAAGCAGGGTTGAGCCAGGAGGTAGGCGCCCTTGAGGATCCGCGCTTCCGGCAATGACATCCTTTCCGTCTCCGCGTTGATGGTGAGGCCCCACACCGTCTGCTGGCGGCTGAAGCACCCTTCTTCTGCATCCTTCAGCTTGTTGATGGCCTTCTCCCCAAAAGCTGCATCACCGCCCACTCGTAGGCCTCACTTGAAACCCAGGGTCTGAGACCAATCGCTGGTTCCACCAGGACCATATCATCTACCAGGATCTTGCCACAGAAGTGCACCTCCCCGTCTCATCGACTCTCCGAAGGCTTCAGACCGCGGTGCACCTCCTCCGTAACTCGGCCCCAGACCGTCCACTCCAGGTAGATCACCGTCAGGTTGGAGACGACCCCCGCTCTTCCCGATGCCTCGCCTGACCCGATCAAATCCGGTCTCCATGGCACATCGCCCGCGAACAGTTCCGTGTCTCTCGGGTCCACCCGCAACAAGCGAAAGGCCCCAGCCACGTCCTTCTTCGCCATCACCACTGGGACTCCAGGATACTGGGCCTTCAACCACACGCCACCTGTTCATGAGTCGGCTGGCCTGCTGGCGGGTGGAGGTCCATGTGATGTTGGGGACCAGCCCAAAGGGCGAGGAAACCGTATGTTCCAAAGCCGGATGATCTGATGACGCCACCAGAACTCGATGCTTCAGGATGTCCTTCATCAACTGAGCATAGACCTGTCCCAGGTCTGCCCTGGCCCTTGGATGCGGCTTCGTGGCCACCCTCTCTCTTTGTCCCTGGAACCGTGCAGGCACACCCTGCGCCTTGTCGATCTCCTGGATGTAGCCCAAGGCCGCAGTGGCCGCCTTTCCGGAGATGCCCTCCGCCTCAAAGTCGACCCATCTGCTTCCCCCCGTGTGACCTCCTCTCCAAGACCATGAAGACCATCCTACGGGCATCCCTCCGTTCACATCGGGTATACCTCTCACTGTGAAAACGACTGGGACCATAAGGGTACGGGAGCTCATCAGGGACCGCTAAGTCGCGTCTAGGCTCATTGGTGTGAAGCCAGACATAGCCGCGCTCTGCGTCAACCTCCATCTTGTTCCTAAACCCCAGATTCTGCCACACTATCCGTGTCCGCTCCCCTTCCGGTTGAGCTCCTGCCAGCCCTGTGTCTTCCTGGGTCTCTCCCATGCCATCGCCTTCAGGCTCCTCCACATCCTCACAGGTTTCCTCGTTCTCTGGCTCCTCAGAGTGGTGGGTTTGATGGTGGATCTCGACCCCATTCCAGACACCCATTTCCGCCTCAACGGCCATTGCTGCGACCTGCTGGATCTGCTCCTCCTCGAGGCCCTCTAATCCTTGGTCGCCTTCAGGTTCCTCCTCAGCGACCGCCTGTCTTGGACAAGGGAGGTTGTGGTTTTGACCCCCCCCCCACCAAGTATGGACCAACGTCTCAACGACCGAGCGGACAAAGTTGGCCGCGTAGACCCCCGCTTCGGTGCACCTGGATACACTGACCCCTGGTCTGTTGCCCTTCAAAGCGATGTGCTGGTGGGTGTCTGACAATCCCGGGCAGAGGCGTAGCAGTGCCTGTCGTAGAGGTGGGTGATGAGGGAAAGCAAGGCCTGTCCGGTGGCGGTAGTACTGGCCCGTGGTATCTGGAGGTCCCAACCCGAAGGCACACATGTCCACTTCAATGAAGTCCACGTCTGGCCTTTGTAGCAACCGCCGCCATTGCGGGACGTCCAGAAGTGCCGGAACTCTCCGCGATCGGGAAGCCACCCTGCACCAACGAGGTCTCGAACAGAGCCGCCCCATACTCCGACAGGGCGTTGCCAATGTGTTCCTTGGCCGTAGGGAGACCGGCGGGGTTCTGGAAGGTCCTGGTCCCACCGTTCTGTAGGCGCCAATCGCAGAACGTAGTGCATGGGCTACTTGGATGACCGGCCTTGTTAGTAAATGGATAGACCACTTGGCCTACTTGGCTAAGTCTCCTAACTTGAGTTATAAGTCTGCTAACCTCAGTTATAAGTCTGCTAACTAGAGTTATAAGTCAGCTAAGTAGGCCGGCCATTTTAGCGGACTTGGTATGTATTCACGGTCTTTTCTAAGTAGTTATCAAATGCCCTAACTAGGCTGGTGCAGTTAGCTAACTTATAACTCTAGTTAGCAGGCTTATAACTGAGGTTAGCAGACTTATAACTTGAGTTAGCGTAGCTAGCTAAGTAGGCCAAGTGGCTTATCCATTTACTAACAAGGCCGGTCACCCAAGTAGCAATCCATATAGTACCCTTGCCGTACTGGATCTGCAAGATCATGTTCTGAACGGGGACCAAGCTGTTGATGAGGCTTCTCATACAACTCGATCGGCTCCAGCGCAGTCTGGCTCGCTGCCCGCCGCCCGTGTGTGATGACCCCATGTCCAGCGAAGTACTCCTGGAGGACCAAGCCAGAATGCCCCTTTGCCTCATGCACTGCCCTGGTCATCTGACCGCCTCCCGCTAAGACCCGGGACAAGGCGGGCAAGCAGGTGGTCTTCCTCAAGCAGCCCGACGCCGGTTGCTCCTCTTGCCATCCTCCTTTCCTGGGTTTGCAGTGCCTGCAACACACGAGCCCTGGCGCAGTCTTGGCCTGATCATGCCGTTGATGCCAAAAGTACCGAAACCCCAGGCAAGGTGTGTTGTACACATCCTCGTTGGTCGGCAACTGGCGGGCGACGTCCTCTGGAGGGGGCTGTAGCAGCGTCATGTGGCCCTTTGAAATCATCGCCCACATGTCCCGCTGCGTCCATTGGCTTCCAGTCGCCGTCTCCAGCAGCACGTCGCCCTTGTAGTCCACCCGCACGATGACGATGCGCATTTCCCCCAGAGCTGCTAACACCGCCAGGGCTCGGTAGTCTTTATCGTGGTGTGGCTTGAGGATGTCATGGGCATACATCCTGATTTCATGTTCGACGGGTGCACCCTCGTCTCAGCGTGGCCCATCACCCCTTCGGCCTCCACCGCCAGCCTGGCTTGCTCCAGCCTGAAGTCCTGCGCCAACTTCTCCACCTCATCCATCGTTGGAACTCTCCCTTCCGCAAACCAGCTGCAAAGACCTTAGTCACGCACTGCCGCTTCTCCTTCTCCGGCTCGATGAGACCCAAGAGCCCAGCAAGCTCCTCTGTCATGTGCACCATCTCGCCGAAGTCCCACATAGCCCAAGCTGCGTCGTCGATCTGCGCCAGTGCCTTCCCAGGTCCATCATCATCCCACCGTGTCTCTCCCCACTCGACACCGAGCCTGATGTCCCGCCTTGGGTCCGCCACCATGAGCTTCAAGGAGGTCTGCTGCTTCTGCGGCCAGTTCGCCCAGCCCATACTGTACCATCTCTTCCATCAGAACCTCGAAGCCTCTCGGGGTCGTTGGCGACTCTCGTGGAAGCCCAGGCATACAGATCATCTGAGGCCTCTTGCAACTTTCCAAGCACAGGTCCATCAGCCAACGCTTGTGCCTTCCTCACCAACTCCTGCGCCTCGAGGGGGGCCGAAGTGCCATCACGCCCTGCATGGGCTTTCGCTTCCCTGGGAACGTGACCATAGATGGAGTGGTCCGGACCCGACACTAGCTCGGCAAAGTCTTTCTCCTGGCTGGTATAGTCGACCTGAACCATCTCCTCCGGTGCCTTCCAACTCACACGGCCTCCGGCTTTCTCATGGATCTCAGGCTCTCCGGAACCCAAGTTCTCGCCTTGCCCTGCCCTCCGGCGATCTTTCCCGTCCTGCACCTTCGCCGCCTTATCCTTCGCCACCCCAGCCCGGATGTCCTTCATCTTCTCAGCCGCCGACTCCTTTGTCTCCGCCTTCATCCTCCGAAGTCCTACTCTGAGAGCCTCATGTGCCCGTTGACGCCCTGTTTGGGCGCAGCCCACGTGCGTCAGGTACCCCCAGCGCAGGAGTTTGCCCTCCTTGTTGGTTGGCGCTCGATCCTTAGATCTGGTCGTCTCCTCCGCAGTGAGCTTGGGGCCATAGAGCGTCTTCAAGGTGGCCTTGTCCTCCTTTGGCCCTCCGTCACCTCCAGCAGGTTGCCCTTGTGCACGGCTCTTTCCTGAACCTTCCCAAGTCATCTTCCACAGCATTCTCTCCTGACGTCTCTCGATCCGGGGCATGACCTCCGACATAAACCACCCTTCTGGTCGACGGAGATCGAAAGTCTGTGGAAGTTCCAAGGGCGGCTTGTGCCGTCCTTGTCAGGCATGAGGGCGTAGAACTTCAGGTCCTGCAAGGTCATGGATTCCCTCCCAGCTTGCCTCTTGATTTTCCTCAGCTCCTCCTTGAGCTCTTCCAAGAAGCGCCAGTGAAGTTCTTCCCACACATCGAGGAGCACCTCTTGTGAGGTGCACTAATATGCCACTCGCCCAGGAGGTTGATGGCGTGATCCCTCACCCCTTCCATTCCATGCCGTACACGAGGGCCCAGACATCATTCTGTCTTTTTGCTCGGTTCAGCCAGTCCTCATACCGAGTAGGTGCCGCGGGATGAAGTCCGAGGCACTGAGGGCATACATTTTCCTGTGTACCCCAGTAGGGCCCTGCGATGCCAATGGCCAAACGGGAAGTGACTTTTTGGCGGAATCCAGCTGTTCTCAACTTCGTTGATCAGCCAGTAAGGCCTGGGCCAAGGCAGCGCCATACTCAACGTCTCCCACCTGCACGGTGTACTGCCCGCAAGCTCTCAGAGGGACACCAATTCTTCTGAAGTTGGCCTTCGCAATGTCTGTCATCTCCGAGTTGGCACCTCTGCCCTCCAGACCAGTACCTGCCTTGCGATCTGGGTCGTAGATGCCCGGCGGTGGAACCACAGCCAGTCTCTTCTTGGGCGGGGTCTCCACAGCGACCGAACCCGGGCTTTGGGTGACTCGTCCTCCAGAAGCCGCACTGGTAGGTGTAGGTGCCGAACTCTCTCGTTCCTTGGCCCCTTCCTGAGCTGCTGCTTGCTTCCTCCACTTCGCCAGGAACTTGGTCAGGCCTTTGGTGCCCTTCCGTTGTTCTTCGGTAGCTTGCTCGTAGAGGAACTTGGTGAGGTCTCCCACTGTCAGGCCTGATTGAGCTGCCATTTGCTTCCGGATGTCCTCCTCGTTCAACTGCAGCTCCTTCCCATCAGCCAGCTGCTCCATGAACTCCTCCAGGTAGGTCATCTCTCCTCTCCGGTCTGGTGAGTTGATCACGCCCATCCTCGCGAGGCTGTGCTGCGCTGACGACTTTGGGGCGTGGCCCGGGGACGCCACTCTTTTCCTCCGTGAAGCGGGCAGCATCTCTTCCTTCTCGTCCCTGACTTCCGGTAGGATGGTCTCCGCCTCCCCCGTGTCATAGGAAACCTCCCGTACTCGACCACGGCGTCGTAGGCGATCTTCTCCGTCTCCTTCTGGTCGATCTAGATCCCTTGCCCTCGACCTCGAACGAGAGGAGCGTCTCGATGGTGTCGGGTTGCATGCCTCCTCATGAGCTCCGCAAACTCGCAACCCTTGCTTGGAGAGGTTTCCCACACGGTTGCAACCCCCGTAGGAGCACCGCAACGATGCTCGGGAGGTGAGGTAGCCGACGGCGTGCTTGGGGCAGAGCTTCGCGTCCTGGTCGCCGCTCAGCCCAGACCGATCCTCCTCCAGGTACTCGACCTCATTGCTGGCTGGCTCCTGACATGGGCTCTCACTCAACATCCCCGTCCGAGAACCAAGTGGGCACAGCACTTATCCTCTTCTTCCTTTTAGACTCGGAGGCATAGTCCTTGAACTTCTTGGCCGCCTTGCCCGCTTTCGAGAAGAACCAACCCATCGCCCTGGCCCCTGTCTTCTGAGCTCCTTCGGCCGTGGACATCAGATGGAACTTTTCAGGGCTGAGTTGGCGAGCCAATGCATAGCTCTTGAAGTGCTGTCCCTCCTCAGGGCATGTATCATGCCTACAAAGGTGCACTCTTTCATAGCCTTTGAGGGCCAGAAGTAAAGGAGCATCACCGCGAACTGACTCGGGATCGAAGCTCAGGTACATGCCGCTGGACTTGATGGCCGCATTCTCTGTCACCTTGATGATGACCACTTGTCCATCCCGACGTAGGAGCGCCCACCGATCCTCTGAGCCCTTCTTCAGCTTCCGGAGCTCCGCTGTCTCGGGAACCTCACCAGTAGCGGGCCCAATGAAGTCGGCGCCAGTCATCTCGGGCACGCCTCCTGCGAGCCTCTGGATCTGGAAAGCCGCTCGGCCGCAGCACCTCACGCATGCTCGAACGATCCAGATCACCGTGAGGATCGTCCCGATGAGGAGGGAGCAAAGAGGCCATGCAAGGGACAGGAAGTAGTGGAGGATCAGGCAGATGGCCATGAGTGTTGCTACCCGTAGAATAACTGAACATCCTGTTCGAACACTGGTCCAGCTCTGCCCGAAAACCATCCATCCAGCCCCGCTCAAAAGCGTGTCCAAAACTGTCCAGAGCACGCTATCCCACGTGGTGAAAGCGGCATACTGGGCCTGGATGGTGGCATAGGTCACATTCGCTCGAAGCTGGAGGCAATGCAGAGGTTCATCCCAACAAGTCGTGTGGTTCTGACTTGGAGGGTCCTCTGCATCAGGCATCTGCCACCAGCCGCGGCTTGAGCCCATCCACCCAAGGCTCAGGAGGAGCCATCGCCACCGCACCATGGCAATGCCCTCCCAGAAGCCAAAAAGGCACTTGTGCCCGAGCTGCACCGGTGCGGGTAGCATGCTCAAAGTAACAGTTTGAAAAACTTCCAAATAGACACATTGCACAATTGGACAAGTTGTTTTCCGGTGCGACGAAGTGCTATGTGAACATGCACCTCAGATCCATAGACCTGAGCTTAGAACACAGGCTCCGTAGTTTGGCCCAGCGCTCCAGCATTTTGATAGCTGCTCACTGGATACACCAGTATGTAAAATTGCAGATTGGCCGTACAATAGGTGGGCCGTGATCCCATCATAGATACGTAAGAACTCTTTGTTTCTTACTCACTCGTAGTTGACTCAACATGAAGAGAACAAAGTGCCCGAAGTATTAGTATCCATATCGGCGTGCCCTGTCAAATGATGAAGGGTCTCCAACGCAGGCTTTCCAAACATGATTCTGAAGGCAACTCGTATACAGAGATAGGCCGACACTTGCCAGCTTGCTCCGTAGCTTGGTGCAGGCATCTGGACAGCTACCCTTTGAAGCAGGAGTCGGCCAGCGTGGCCAGAAGGCCGTTGTGGTTCTAAAGCAACATTTTGCAACTGGTTCATAGAGACAGAGACAGCTCAGCAGGCAAACAAGGATTTAGAGCGTGGAAGTGGGCGGGATGATTGGGAACGGAACTGGACTGATTTGGTTTGGAGATTCATCGTTGCTGAGTATCGCACCAGGTGAGAAAGCTTCAAGCCGATCTCCGAAAACAGGAGGCAGCAGCCTGATTGGGTTTGGCAGCAACAGTTTTTTGATGCAAAATGCTTGCACACCTGGTGCAGCACAGGCACAGGCATTGAAGCTCAAAGAGGCAGAGTCTCAGGGAAGAGGCGAAGATGTGCGGAAGGCGGAAAAGAGCACAGTTTCTTCATCACTGAGGCTCAAACTTCTTCAAGGAAGCTTACCTACTCGTCAACCTACTATATAGCTCCTTACGCCTACGGCCCACCCTACGGCCTACCCCCTCCGGCCCCAAAAGGTGTTGTCGTTCTGAAGCCGAACACGTCAGGAGTTTGCGTACCAGAAGGCCTTGCAGCGAGCGCGTGGCGAGAAGGCTGGGTTTCGAATGGCACTTTTAACATCTTTTAACTTTTGGCTCTCCTCTTCTGCCTTTTTTGCCCTTTTCAGCGCCTTTTTCACAGCCGTTGCGAGGTGCATGATGATGTGAGCAAACTCCGAAAAGTACAAAAGACCATGGAGATGAAGAAGAAGAAGGGCCAGGAGAGACATGTGCACCTTGGACAAGAAGGAGTAAAAACAGATCACTTTTCTGAAATCCCTCAGGAGAGATGGGAGGCAAAGATCGAAAGCGATAAGCAAAAGGTGCAAAGCTCCGTCACGCTGCGCTGGTGATACATGATATTTTGTGATATGATGCTCATATACAGATGTTTTGCTGTGCTTGGAAGGATGGTTCAGTGATATTCAGTACGGCCTGTGGATGTTATTTCGGTTGTGCCACTTTTGGAGAGTGCTGCAGCCGAACTAGCTGCGGAAGAAGACCAACCACGAATATAGGTGATTCGTTGCCACCAAAGAAACAATGTAGGTACAAGAGGTTGGCACGTGATTTCCACAAATCATTTGATGCACACAGGTCGAAGAACAGCAAGCACAGCGCAAGGAAAACCTCAAAAAACAGAGGCGACCTGACGTATTTTTATTTGATGGAGGTCCAAGCCATTCACGTGACACATGGTCCCTAGGAGTGGCAAGATCACTACGCCCGCGCAGCTGAGGAACAAAGAAAAAGACAAAGATGCAACAGAGAATGGGCTTTGAGGGGGAGCGCACTGGCAAGCTAAATTCAGGTCCCTACTAGAACTTCCATTCTCGGATCCGAATCTGCATATATAAGTGGCATAGTTCAGCTTGCAACTGTGGAGCATTTGCGGAAGCTTTCGTTTTGCATTCGGATCTTGGAGTCCCAAACCTCAATAGTTTGGTGCAGGGATTCGCAGATTCCTGTAAGCCGCAAACTGGACTCGAAATACTGAGTCGAAAATGACGCCTTGGTTTGCTTGAATCTGCTAGCTGTAGCTGCTAGCAATTTACAATTTGTCAAACTTCAGGGCATCTCAGAGCCGTGGCAGTTTGCACATTTTTTCACGTTTAGAGTGTTGTGCATTACATTGCTTCAATCTGCGCTCGCTTTCAGCTGCGCCAGCTGTGCACCGATTGGGCAACGCCCCAGCGCTTCAAGCGCAAAGTGTGTGCACGCCATGCGACTCTGTGAACATGACTGACCAGAAGGCATCAGAAGGGATGAAAAGACATGAGAACCGAGCTAGAAACTAGATGGAAACCAGTCTGGAAATCAGACAACAGCCTTTGTGGACCGATCAAGCCATATAAGTGGTCACTACTAGTAAGTTCTGAACCAGGGGAGGACAGATGTGACGCTTCCAAAAAGTTTATGGGGTGAAAGATGTCACAGGATGTAGAAGGTAAGTATCAAAACATAAAAGGTATGTATGTACCAAGATCGAACGATCGATCGGTCCATCATCGATCTATCTGGAGGCTCTTCTTCCCAAGACCCGGGGTTCATTCCTTGGTTTGCTGCTGCTCTTCACCACCCTGGCCTGTCTGGTCACTGCCTCCTGGGTTGGATGCCAAGGAAGCTGTAGTCTTGGAGAGTCTGAGAGCCTTTGGTTTCTTGCAGCTGGTGACTTTGTTGTATCTCTTCTAGTGCTCTTTCAAAGCCGCTCAGCTCCCCATTCCCATTCCCAGAATTATGGGCACTTTTACTTCTCCTAGTGTTTCAGGGATCTTGCCCAGGCTGTGAAATGGCTCGACAGGACGAGCGCCTTGGCACTGGATTATGTCTTGACAGAGTGTCATCAGGGGAATGTGCCAAAGCTGGCCAAGCTCTTAGTGCAACGCGTGATTACAAGCATACATTGATTCACTTTATCCAAGGGACATGAGCGACTTTGATTTGTTTTTGATTGACCCTCAGGAAGCTTGGCGCTCTATGGAACGCTCCTAGGCCTTCTTCCAGGCAGAATGGAAGCTAGCAGACAGGAAAGTGAGGGAAAGCTAAGTTTCCCACCAAGGCTTCTGCAATCTACCTACTTAAGCATACCTCACGGCCTAACCGTTTTGAACGTTTTTCTTCAATTTTCTTCTTTCTTCAGGACATTCGTTGCATTCTTTTCTTTTCTTGTGCCAAACACATGTTGTATCATGTTGTGCCACTTCAGGCGCATTACATAGCCGTTACAGCCGAACAGCAGAGGCACCCAGACGCAGCCTACGTATCTCGGCCTCCCCCCCCTCAGCGACCGAACATGGGTGATGGCGAGCCCAACATCGCAAAGCCAGGAAAATTTACCCTCATACTGCAAAGCATGTTTCCAACCAGACCAAATTGGCTCATTGAGGGCTTGTTTGGGAACCAACCGTTTCCCCAAATCCCAGATTGCAGTGGTTTCTTTTTGCAGGGTGTTGCAAGTGTTTCTATTATGTTGAGGCTATTGCCTGGTTCTCCTCATCACTCTGCTGGGCTTTGCTGTGGCTGTGCTTCCCTTCACTCCAGCTCTCCCTTGGCACAGCTTCCTCGAGGCCTGGAAATCGCGGAGACACCGATGTTTCAGGCGCCTTTGGATTTTCAACAGGTGCCTCACCAGACAATCATACGATGGGTGGATGCGCTATCCTGCGCGGGTATCACTGCCGCCGAGCAGCAATATACCTTTTTTTGGTCAAGCGCATGGATTTGGGTCATTTGTTTGATATTTTTCACCAACAGCGAAGCTTTAGGGGTCTTCAGCCATATAGTATAGACTTTGGAGCAGCTCGGAGCAAGCTCCGGAGCAGGTTCTGGTGCAGGTTCCGGAGCAGGTTCCAGAGCAGGTTGCTTGTCACAAGGTCTGGAGCGCCTTGCAGATATATGCCGGCGTATAGCGCTCACACATCACGACGCCGGCCTTTTGTCGGGCTTGCTGGCATGTTGACGCGCCTTCGGACCACCGCGCTAACCTGCCGCCATGCCGCTGGCTCTGACTGTTGCCACTCCGACAAGCCGACGACGTGGTGCCATGCTGGTGTGTTGTGCATGTAGAATGCTGACGCACAGACATGTATCGTCAGATTGTCCGTGGAAATGCGGATTTTCTTCCTGTCAGCCACTCAGCCACTCAAGATCCTGAGTGGCTGAGTGGCTCTCAGGAAGAAAAGCATGAGTGGCTGAGTTGCTGAGTGAGTGGTTGACAGGAACAAAAGTCTGAGTGGCTGAGTGGCTGACAGGAAGAAAAGCCTGAGTGGCTATGAGTGGTTGAGCGGCTGGTGTGGACTAGTCGTTGTAGTAGAAGTGGTGCTGCGCTGGTACTACTACTACTACTACTACTTCTACTTCTACTTCTACTTCTACAACTACTGCCACCTTCAAGAAATGATCCCCTGACCGCGAAAACGAGCCAATTGAATTGATCAAGCCCGCAGGGTGTGCTTGCAACAAGCGCGCCACGGGAACGATCAAAGCCTTGAAAGCCCAAAATCAACACTCAGACCGGTCCTCGTCGCTGACGGCGACCACTACGTCACAGCCAGCCACTCAGCCACTAATCCACTCAGGCTGATGACGATGATGACGGCGCCGAGGGCGGCTAGTACTACTACCGTTACGACTACAAAGACGACGGCTACTCCACACCAGCCACTCAACCACTCAGCCACTGAGGCTTTTCTTCTTGTCAGCCACTCAGCCACTCATCACCTCAGACTTTTCTCCCTGTCAGCCACTCAGGATCTTGAGTCATCTTGAGCGGCTGAGTGGCTGCTCAGGATCTTGAGTGGCTGAGTGGCTGAGTGGCCGCTGTGAACCGCGACCCGGACTGCGCATACCCTCCATAATTAGACGCGTTGTCGCGATTGATTTTCATTGTTGCGCTGATATGCCGGCGCGGTGTTGCGCTGGCACGTAGTTAGGTTATCACGCTGACGTATTGTCATACTGGCGCAGGCACGCTAGCATGCTAACACGTTGTTGCGTTGAGATGCGAAAATTGGGTCATGTTTTAAAGCAGTAGTGTCACACGCCACTTGTTAACATTTCGCAAACTTATCAGCAGATGTCAAATGTTGCCATTACTAAGTTAGCAAATTCATGTGCAGCTGTTGGGTATTTTTCTTGGGTCTATTTGTACGCACTTCTTAAATGACTGTTATGGTCCTTCAACATGTTTTTGTGAGTTTCAGGTGGTTCAACGACAGACGGTTCAAGTCATCACAAAGTCCAAAAAAGTTAGGTTGTCGCTGCTCTGTGCATGAAACTTGAACATCCACCTTCAAACTATGTTCGCCACGCGGTTTGGGCAATCTTTGGAAGCTGGCTTCTGATCACCTTGCTCGCCTCCACTGTCTTCTTTCCCCGTGAGTGGCTTGCCATCGATTTACTTTTGTCGAACTCTTTGAAGTGAAGGAGGAACCAGATCTCATACCAACCCACAATTCAATTCTAGTGCATCCCAGGTACCACACGCTACTGCAACATGCAGCGTGGCATTTGGAAGGTGCGACGGAACAGCTTGCTGAAATGAAGCTGAAACACATGGTTTGCCAAGCGAGATTGAACGATTTTGGAATGCGCAGTTTGAATCCGTGTCAAAAAATATTGGTTTTCAGCAGGCCTTGGGTTGTTTACAGAGCTGCCGACACTTTTGTTTCCACTTTCAGGCATCGACTTCATGTGGATTGCTTGGTTGATGGCTGACCGGATCACTGAAATCACAGACCGACCTTCATATACATTCTCCAACTCAGGTGGCTGAGCCTAACTTAGAAACAGTTGGAATATGTTAGCAGTTGGTTGAAAGAAAAAGGAGGAGCGAGATGGTGAGCTACATTATGCACTGACTTGCAATGCCCAGGAAAGATCATTCGTATTGCGGCTGTTTGCTTCCACTTCAGGACACTTCTTGCAGTCAGGCCAAGAGTGACAGTCTAACAGGTGCAGCCTTTCCTCGCAGGATTACCACTGAGACTTTCCTGGGCACCAAAACTTTGTCGCTTGCAATCCAGATGGTCTTTGCTGCCACCTTCTTGTTTCTTGCCTAAACTCTTTCTTTGGAATGTTATTTCTTGAAATCTTTTTGACGCTGCTTTGCTGAGGATGCTGTGGATGTTTCTTTGTATGAGAATCATACTATGCCACTTGGTCTCAGCACTGCATAGTGTGGAAAAAGAAGGTCTTTTTGTTCTCCACAGGGGGTGGCAATGAAGTAGGCAGCAAGCAGAGTTAAGTGAGAAGAGACAGCTACTGTACTAGATGCAAGCCCAAGTCTGACAGGTTCCAACATTCGCATACCTTTGTCACGTGGCTTCTGAGGCTTGGCCCGAAGTCTCTGGCT